TCAACTTGCGGCGTTTTTTCTACAATTTCATCTTGTGGCAATTCCTCTTGCACTATATCTACATCTAGTATCATTTCCTCTTTTTGTGATGCAAAATGACCTCATTTTCTGGAAAATTTAGATGCATGTTGTTTTCTTTTATTAGAATGTGGCATTAGATATATATTAAAAATTGGTATTAATTCAAAGTTAGTTGAAGGATTTAATATTTAATAGTATTAATGTATAAATTTCAATTAATTTATTTTAATACCAAGCTTTCAACAACGATTAATATTAAAGTCACTGATATCTCTTTTATATTGATTAGGTTGTGATAAAAAGAATTTGAGTGAGAATTTTTTTTATTGTTTTTAAAAAACTAACTACAATCCGTTGAGATGTTTTAGGAATGCATTCTTGAATATTTTGTGTATTACAAAAAATTACGAATATACAATTGTAGACTGATTAAAATCATGATTTTAATTAGTTCATAATTGTATCGTCATAATATTCATAATTTTCCCACGAGTTTTAATGCACAAAATGTTAATCGATTCAATAATGTAGTTAAAGCATAACATAAAGGTTCAGATAATGAATTAAAAAACGTGCAGACAATAAGAAGCTAACCATAATGAGACTAAGATATGAGCTTTTTATTAATCGACTATGATAAAGGATTAGTATTTGAACTTAATGCCCAATTGTTTCTATCTGAATTGAACATGGGTCTATTTTCGATTAAAATAGTGATTATGCCTAATTGCTATTAATAACACTGTATGTGACAAGGACTTTATCAATTACCAGATCGAAAATAATAATATAAGATTACTGAAATATTTGTTTTAAGAACGATTTAGGGCTACTCTTTCCAAGAATAAGATTATGCAACATAATATAATTTATTGATATTATCACAAACGATTAAATTTATTCAAGATAATTCAATTTGTTAACGCTAATACTATTTTTGCACAGTAATATATTAAATAAAAATGATACTACAGAACTTCGAATTATTGTCTCTTAATATTAAAACATTTGATGTTTATTTCGTGCAAAATTCTGATACGTAGCGTTTGTTACCATTAATTTGGTTAAATTATTAAATAGTTGAATATATACCAACCACATATTTATATTGAATTATTTAATCGCTTTAAAATTCCAACACGAATTACAAAATTTATGTTATTCAATTATTAATTTCTTAAAACTCTAGTATTTGAGATTCTAACAAGATAATTGAATACACAGCGTAATTTTGACCTTTAAACTTTAGGAAAAGCTTAATTAATTACGCTATTTCAGTATTTGTCAAGACTTCCAATATATCAAAAAAAAAAAAATTAGATTCTTTAATTTTTGAACATATCACAAGCTTTACTTTATTAATTGCAAAGAAAATAATAAGGATAAGCCGAGTTGAACGAGGAATATGTCTTTTTTTTTCGATCGGATGTAAATGATGCCAGCCAATCAAATTCTGCAAATCCTCACATGATTTGTTTCAACTATGCAAAACATACAAACTTCAAAACGCTAAAACTTTTTTCAGAGACGCTATTTCAAAAAACTAACTGATAACTTTGTTCTTCATAATCGGCTCTACAAAGTTATCGGTTGGTTTTTCGAAATAGTGCCTCTGTAAAAAGCTTTAGCGTTTTGAAGATTTGCGATTTTTTGTTCACGTAATTGGCGATTATAGATTGCCAGAACCATATAATTGGCAATGCTTAAATAATTTAGATGATGAAAAAATAGTTAAAATTAGAATAATTGCTAACTCTAACTTCTCAGTTTATTATTAACATATCTATCTCTTTTGTATTAAGTTTTTCGCTCAAGCCTGGTTTTATATTTTCTAAATTTTTAACTAATTCTTCTTGAGTTATAGGAATATTTTTAAATAATAATACTAATTTTTTTTCTCTTCTTTGTTTTACACAAGGAAAAAAACTCTTGCTTTCAAGTTTATGTTTAACAGAATGAATTATTTCTTGCTTATTAATATTTGGTTCACTTTCTTTAATCTGGTCAGCTAATTTGTTTAACAATTTGGTAACTTCTTTTTGCAAAAGTTCACCTTCCGATTCTGAAAAAAGAAATTCTATCTTTTCAGTGCATTCTTCTGTTTCTTGACGTAGTTCTTGAATAAATCCATCAAAATTATCAGTGAGTAATTCAATAGCTTTTTGCATATCTTCAGACTTTAGTTTGGCATTTTTATGAATATCCCCTACTTCAAAAACATCATATTTGTCAAATTGATTTTGATCATCCAATTTGAGCATTTCAATAATAGTAGGATTTATTTTACTCTGGTTGCTTCAGATAGATTTATTTAAAGATTGGTAAGTTTCTTGCAGAAAAGTTAGGGCTTTCACATCTTTAAGTAAGTAGTCTTTGAAGTTTTGACTATGTTTAATGTGAAAATAACTCTTAAAAATATTGGCGATTAATGAAATGCCTTTACCTATTAATTTAATAGGAATTGAACCTCCTGGAAAAATGCTAGCAAATTCTCCTGCATCACCAATATATCCACCTATCTTGTCTAATTTATCAAATTTTTTATCAGATTTACTTATCTTTTGATAAGTAATAATTAGGCTTTTGATTGTTTCTTTTCGAGTTTTAGCAAAGATTTGCTTAGCAGCTAAAGCGAGCATAGTTTTTTTTAAATTTTGCTGATTGACTGAAGGTTCAACAGTAGTTGAATCTAGTGCTTGAGACTTTTGCTCGAGTTCACTAAGTTCTTTTTGTAATTGTTGACCATTATTATTATAATGAATATAAATAGTTTGGTAGATTATAGTTGGTGTGATCATTGCATTTTCTATTAGTTTTTTTAATATTTCATCCTTAAATTTCTTCATTTTTATTTCATAATCTGTGTATCTACTTTTTGTCTGTGTTTGGTGGGTTTCTTCATGCATTTCCAAAAATTTTCTATTTTCATTACTATTGGTAATCTGTAAGGTTTTCTTTTGTTTTTCAATCAATAAAGATTTATATTTTAATTTTTCATCTCATTCTAATTCCATCCCGCTAACTCTTCACAATCTATATGAAACATTTCTAAATATTCTCTGCTTAATTTATTTCTTAGTTCATTTTCAATTTTCAACTATTCTTTCTGTAGATTTTGTGTTTCTTTGTCCATTTTTTTATATTCTAGACGAACTATTTGTTTTTTTGCCTTTTTGTATTCTGCACAAATGAT